TAGGCAAAATGTAAAACTGCTTAAATATTTACATTTCAGCACTTTACCTTATCCCTGTTTACATCTCTTACTATACGTCTATTTCCTTGAATCGTATACAGTTCTTGTGCTGGAAAGTAGACCCATCTTATACTAGCTTACAGGAACTTCACAATTCCATTCCAGGTATTGAGCAGCTGTTCTTTTGAATCATATTCACTGAATTGTCAAGAAGATTTGAATCCTCAGGGATATCTCCTACCTCATAATGGATTTCAGCGCGATACACTATACAGGTCTTGCTGTATTCTATGAGTCACGAAAGAGAAGAAAATGATGCTCTTACTATTGGCACCTTTCAGAGAGAGAACACTATTGGGGTAACAATTAATTTGGTCTAGAGTTAATCTATGCATGTACCTTTTTTGCATGTCTGGAATTTAGCAAAGCGGTGCATTCAGCCTCAACTTTAAAGCTGAATTGCTGTAGTTCTTAAAAAAAACTTATAGAACAGTTTTAAAATTAAGGCTCTATTTAAGAATATGTCAAATTCTGGAAGCTGTAAAATGCTACATAAATAGGAGAAATCTAGACCCAAACGGAATTCTCCTCATATATGTGGATTCTTTGCACATTAGCTGTGTACATCACATTGACCAGTTTCTTATTGAATCCTAGATTTGCATGTGTAATCTCAACTAATAAGACGCATGTTATAAAGAGGTGGGTGCACTTGATCTTAGTTTTCCAGAATGCCCATCCTACTGTGTTCCTCAATACATCAATGAATTCAGTGTCCTGGCCTCAACCACCCTTCTTGGTATCGAGGTTGATTACTTCTCTGTGCAAAGAAACACTTACAGGACTCTGTCCTATTCTTCTCAAATCTGAACGGTGCTCTGTTGTCCTGCAGACTTGGAATATCTGAATGTACTGTTCAGCATTTAGTTTTTTCTTATCCTCAAAGTATCTAACATATATCTTTATAAAAACATTTTCTCCAAGATATCTTTGAGGTTGAAAAGTCCTAGCTTGTCCAAGTGCTTTCAGTCAGTCTTGTTATTGTTGACTTTGCATTCAAATCGCTCTCTGGCCTTTCTCCTCCTTTACCCCTGTGACCTCCTGCAACTCTACCCCTGGATGCCCTCACCGTTCAGTGAACACCCAGCTGCCTGATTATTGGTGGGTGAGCTTTCAGCCATTCTGTCCCCACTCACTGGAACTGCACTTTGGAGTCTCTCCACTTACCCCTCCCCTCCAAAGCCCACCTTAAGACCCATCCTTTCAACCGCACTTTCAGTCATGTTCCCCTCCCACCCCCATCATTCTCAGCTCCCTCTACCCCCATCACGGGCGCTCAGTCAGCTATAAGAAACACTTTAAGACTCTGCTCAGGGCAAATAGTGCTTACAAATATAAATTGCTGTTTTTGTGGTTGTTCCCCTCTGTGCTGGATAGTCCCTTAAGCCACCACAACCAGAACTGTTCCGCAGTTCTAAAGTACTAAGTGCAGTCTGATCAGAGCACTGAGTTTTTAGGATTTTAATTCAACTAATGGAAATAGGACTACCCATATTTCTCTGCTAATGGACTAATCCATATATAAATAATAACCACACAACTTCAAAATAAATCTCTTCGAAAACTGTTTCTTTTTTGTGTGTACTCCATCAATAGAATATATATATTCCCAAAATAGCTAGATTTGTTTCTCTTCCTTTATCTTTGATGACTCAGGCACATTCATCAGTAGCAAATGTATACCGCAGCAGTATTTACTGGCAAATACAATTTCTTAAGTAAGCCATATATTAACATTCAATGACTTCAAACCCTATAGGACTAAATACCATTTACAGCAGGTGACTGTCCATGTTTTAAAAAAATGCAAAAACTACTCTTTAAATTTCTAATACATTACAAAACACTAAGAAGAAATTACACAATAAAGTCAAGCTACCTTGTCCATTTGGATGATGGGCAGCCCTACCACCAATCCACTGTTAAATACTTTTTACATTTACCAGACATCTTTACATTTAGCAAAACAACATAAATTCTGTGCAGTTCAAATTGAACAAAACAACATCTTCACTTGCAGTAGCCTTTGATCAGCAAAATTGTTACAAAAATATTAGTTTCCATTTCAGTGCAAGACTGTTCCGGTTTTCTGAAACAGATATTGTTCCTCCTATAGCACAACAGTCAAATATTTAACTCATCAAATATGGGTCAGTTTTAAAAAAACATTCATATACTGAAATGGATTTAAAACTAACATACCTGTAAAAATCAGTTACTTGAATGGGAAAACAAACTAAACGTTTGAATGTTTCTGAATGTTGAATGTGCCTGGAAAAATGAATCAATAGAACTTTTGAAAAATATCACAAGCTAAGTTTGGATGAAGATTTCTGCTTGTTTGACGCCCATCCTTCTAAACTGCAATAATATCCCCATCATCTCCCTATTGCAGCATCAAGGGGTTGCAATGCAAGTCCACTGTTCCGGTCTTAAAGCAATCTCTTGGCACAAGATGTTTTCTACAAATTTGCACAACCTTAAGTTTTAAGGCAAAATAGCTTTACTGGCTAATAATACAACGATCAGTTTTAGGCTTCTGTCGTCCGTCCTAAATTTTGGGTCCTCTTGATCAGCTGCTTTATGTCATATAATAATGGTTTCCAGACTTACTTTCTCTATGCCATTAGCATCTTACATATCTCTAGAATGTCCACTCTGAAATATGTGTTGTTACATTACATCACTAATGGAGTCAAAAAATAAACATTAGCTTCAACCCATGAATCACCATGAACCAATCTTGGAGGTTTTATTTTCATCTCAGCACACAATGACTGTGCACTGCTTGAGTAACTTACCGTTCGTTATTCTTAGTGACTTAATTTTAAAACAACAGCTTTTAGCCCCGTAGTTAGAAAGTTTGGGCACTTATCAGAATTTAGAAAACAGAATTGATTTTTGATCAATGAATGGGTTCAAAGCCAATGCAGTGAAAGACTAGAGATTTCAATACTGCTTTCAATGTGTGTCTTGGCAGTTAATCCCCACCATGGCCTGGTTCTTAATTAAATTTAAAGCTCATATTGGAACTGTACCAATCAAATATTACACACCTAGTCACCAAAATCTTTCCTGGTCAAGTTAACAAATCAACTTTGAATGAAGACCCTGAAAAATGTCATTCAATCCATTTTTGAATCATTAGTAATCTTGATAAGTCACACACCGGATTCCATAGACTTACTGTAAAGAATATCTGACAGACACATTTTAAAAATATCAAAAATATTACGATCTAATCAAAAATTGAAGCATATATTACCCAGATTTCTAATTGCTGAATTTTATTCGTGAAAGTAGTGCAGTTAAGCACGTACCAATTAATTAAGATTTCATACAATAGCATTTACAATTAGTACCACAGTGATAATGCAACTTAAGACAAAATCGTACTAATGTCTATTTGATGTACTGTATCATGTTCGAATTTGAATTTTATTTTTTAGCACGGGTAATATGTGTTTCTCATAACGTTTGCCAAAAAATAGCAATAATCAGTTTCAAAAAAATTGCATGTGGCTTTGCTATATGAAAAGGTGAAAACCACTTAAAATGTTAAAGACTGCTCGGTCTTCCTTTTGTAGTTTAATCTAACCGGGAAGTCATTCATTAAATTGCCACAGCCCATGTTTTGAAAAGCAGTGCATGCATCTACTGGCGCCATCATCAGTGTACAGCATTTGCATTGGAACAGCCCTTTTTAATCCAGACAGCAGCAGCCCACCCCCTCAGCGTTCGTTACGCAGCCGCGGTGGACACCGAGCCAAAGCAGTGGGAGCCGACTTCGAAACCGGCCAAGAAACGCGGCCCTTAGCCTTGGCGGCGCACGGCATTTTTTTTAATATATTGATGGGAGGAGAAGACGCTGAAGGCGACACCGATAACGATGAGCCAGGAGACGCCGGCCATCCAACTGGAAAGAGCTGTGGATAGGCTCATCCCCCCCCCTCCCTCCCTCCCTCCAGGATCTCCATCATCACCATTTGCAGGGATCCAGGGTACCCAATCTCCTCTGCTTTCTGACGCATTTCTACCCAGAAAGGCTAAATAAATGCCTATCCATCTTACGCCTATTTCGTCCCCCCGGGGAAACGAACCCCCCCCCACTCGAGTTCAGCCCCTTGTAAACCAACGAGGGCTGCGGGCGTATATGCAAGATGTTTTTATGTATTATATATAGATATATAGATAAATAAAACACACACACACACACACACACACAAACCTGCTGCATTGCTGCGTTTGATCTGAACCCTGGGAGCTGTGTTTTTTTTTCACCCTCTTCTCCGACCCCAACCACCACCACCACCACTTCCCTTCCCCTCCATTCAAACAAACCCTGAACCCAAAGCAGCGTCTCTGCTAAACCATACGGTCAACCAACCAGTTATATAGAGAGAGATAGAGAGAGAGAGAGAGAGAGAGATAGAGAGAGAGAAAAAAAACAGTCACACACCGAATTGATCCTTTCTCTGCATTCAGGTGCAACGGTCCATCGAAAAAAAAACCCGAGGCCCGGGAGTCGCAACGGGAAGGAAGGCAATGGAGGAAGAGGGAGAGAGGGGGTTTAGGTGGAAAAAAAAGAGAAAATAATCCTCTTTTGAATCCGCTGAGTGACACGGATTTATGGCGTTGGGGCTGCGGCAACGGATCAAACCAACGCCATCGGGGGACTGACCGACCGACCGACCGACCGGGTGGGGGTTGAGCAACAACAGTCGGCATTAAATACCGGGCGCGCGGACCGTGATACACACACACACACACACACGATAACGTATAATAAACGGGAGATCTGTGGGTGGGGGGTGGGGGGTGTGGGGGGGAGAGTGTCGGCCCCGAGGTGATGGTGTGGAGGGGGAGGAGGGGGAGAGAGAGAAGCGCTGAGGAAAAAAAAACACACGCCGCCGCCCCAGTTCCCTCATAAAGATCCTCACCTTTCGGCCTATGTCTTTCTTCCCTGTGGGACGGTATATATATATATATATATATGTTATATATATATATCTAATATAGCGAAGTCGTACGTAAGTCGTTCACCTCACTGCAACGTGAAGAACATCGCAGATTCCCCGACGACGACGACGGCGGCGGCTCCTCTCTCTCTCTCTCTCTCTCTCACTCACTCACTCTCACTCACTCACTCCCTCCTTCCTTCACTCACTCAGACCCGGCGGCGCGCCCGCCCGCCCGTTCACTCATTCATTCGCTCGCTGATCCAACGCCGAATCAGTTGGTACAGCGGTTCGAAGTGGGGGGCGGCGGGGGGGGGGGGGGGGAGGAGGGGGGAGAGAGAGAGAGGGGGAAGAGGAGGAACCGTGGCTGAGGGTGAGTGGGTGGGTGGGCTGAGGGGGGAGGGGGGGGGAGGTGTGGGGCGGAGAAGGCGGTCTCGCGAGGCGCTTTCTGGGAGTTGTAGTCCGGGCGCTCCGGTCGCTCGCTGCCGCCGGCGAGGAGAACAAACGGCCTTGAACGCCAGGTTCCGGCGCGCGCCGCGGCCCGCGCGCATGCGCACGGGCGGCGGCCGCCCCCTCTTGCCCAGTCCCGCTTGTTGTTGCTGTTGTTGGTTGGTGGGTGGAGGGGGAGGGGTGTTCCGCAGACGCTCGCGCTCCCTCCCTTAGTGACGAGGCAGCAGCAGCTGGTGCTCGGGCGGGTGACTGACAGGCCCGCCTGCCAATCGGAAGCCGCACTGATGTCGTCGTCGTCGTCGCGCGGGGGGGGAGGCGGGTCCGGTTCAGGGAGCCGTCCAATCGGAGCGGAGCGGAGCGTCGGAAGAGAGTGTGTGTGTGTGTGTGTGTGTGTGGGGGAGAGGGAGGGAGGGCGAAAAGAAAAAAAAAAGGGCGGGCGGGCGAAAGCCAAAGGCTGTCCGTTGCCAGCACGTTGGAGTTGCGTCAAGTTTTATCACGGAAGGAAAGATCGCGAGCTTTTCTCGCTCGCTTTTCGGGTTGGTGGTGGTGTCGTGTGTGTGTGTGTGTGTGTGAGTGAGAGAGGGGGGAGGGGGTGTCGAGGGGTGAGGGGGGAGGGAGGGAGGGAATGCGGCCTGGGCTCCGGCAGAACCTGACCCGCTGAGGTAACTACACGCTCGCGTTAAGTTTTTTTTGAAAAAAAACGCGGCAGCGAACTCGGGATTCCCCCCCTCGTCTCTCTGCCTTTCCCTTTTTTTTAAAAAAAATTACATTCCTGTTGTATATTCTAATATATGTATATATATATAAAGATATCTATATATTTTGATATATATATATATACCGCCCCCCCACACACACACACACACTCGCAATGGCACCTGACAAGCGGCGTCTGACTTCTCCTCCCCTCGCAGTCCGGCTTCCTCCCCTTCCCCTTCAACCCTCGTCGGCCTTTTTGTGTGTGGGATGGGGGAGTGGAGGCGGTAAATGCGCTTTGTTTATACAGCGATGGACAGGTTGTATTGTTGTGTCCCCTGAGCGTAGGCCTCGCCGACGCAGTTATTCTTCCCCGCCCTCCTCTTAGCTTATCCTATCCAACCCTCCGCCCCCCCCACCACTCTCACTCTCACTTTCTCTCTCTCTCTCTCTCTCTTTCTATATATATATCTATATATTATATGCAGAATAGTAAAAGTGCAACGCTTTCACTTGCTTAACGTTTTCCAGGCTTCCAACAGGACCTGCCTACGTGCTGCATCGCAGATCGATTTGAGTTTGCATCCTCCTCCTCTTCATCATCTCTTCCTTTTCCCCCACCCATCCATCCCCCTCTCTCTCTCTCCCTCCCTCCCACCACCATCACCATCATCATCCTCCCTGTTATAACTTGGCAGTGAGTGATGGGTGCTGGCGTCTTTCTCGGCTAACGCAAATAATCCGAATGCAGGAGTCACAGCCTCTGGCAAATAACTTTATAAACGTGCAAAGCACATCCTCAAGGGGGGGGAGAGCACGGAATGGGTCGACAGGGTGGTCGGCGTTGATGTTGCCAGTGGTGGCTCGATTATTGGGTGTTTTATACCGAATTGCCAGTCCCTCTTGCGTGTGAACGCTCAAGATTTCTTTTGTTGGCTTTACATTTTGTACCCCACTGAGGGTGGTTTGGGTGAAATGTTGCACCCCCATGAAATCTGGAGTCATACTGCCACACTGTGAGGTTGAAGTAGATATGTAAAGGTATATTTTAGGCAGCAACTTTAAAGGTAAGGGAAAGGGGACTTGGGAGTCCGGCAACTGGGCCCAGTATTCAAAATCCTGGTTGCTCAAGACTTTTCATAAATATACCACACACAGAAGGCATCTGAACTGGGCATTTGGTGTTTCAATTTGTTTAGAATCGCCTGCAATGGGTTTTTTCCCCGTAAGATCAGCTGTCAGTTGAGGCACCAGCAATTTGGAACCACTTCTAGAATTGAAGGTTGGGTATGGTTTGAAGGCAGTGGCGCATCATTTGCCAGCCATTTTGAAGAAAAAGATTTATGGGAATGAGAGGGGCAGCGGAAATAACAGAACCGACCACAGATGAATTTTGCATGAAGTGTATTTTATGAAATTTAAATTTTTGAGCAAAATATTTCGGAAAACATTGATACAAAATAGAGAGAAATCCTGATTTCATTACAGTTTACTGCAGTCCAGAGTACTCCTTTACACATTACTATGCTTTGTACAGATTTAGGTCCATATCATTCTTGGCTCTTTTTCTTATTGGAGTAGGCCCAATCAAATTGGGAGGTTAATCAAGACTAGTGGACTCTGATTGCTAGAGGAGAACTTGTTTTATATGACTCGTCCTGTGCAATGCCTGTCTACGACAGGATCTGAGAGGAAAAGTTATAGGATTAATTGGGGAGCCTTCCAAAAATAATTGTGGGTGAACTTCAAACTCCAGTGTGTTGGCATGATTATGATTTGATCTTATATCAAATGCAAGGATTATTACTGTATTGTAAGTCTCCATCATTGAGGCAAGGAGAAGGATCTTTGCTTCGCAGCACTTTACCTTACATAGTAGCATTTTATGCTTGGGTTATTGGAGTCAAAGGAAAATCAAAACGTTTTCCATCCAATTATGATTTCACTGATCTTGATCAGCTCAAAAAATATTTTTTTATATAACTAAACCTTTGATATGTGAGTAGAAATATGGAAGAATTGAATGTAATATGTACTGTATGTCTAAAATACATTTTAATACACTATAAGAACACTGACTATTTCCAACTTCCTGCTTTAAGAGCTTATCACTTTAAAAAAAGTTGTACTCCGACTTTTGAAGAGGATGGACATTTTTTTCTTTGTTCTATTTGGACGTAGGCATGAGCATTTGGGTGTGTTCCAGCAATGTATATTTGTCTTTCAGGTGATTCATAATGAGTTATGCAGAAAAACCTGATGAAATCACTAAAGATGAATGGATGGAAAAACTCAACAATTTACACATCCAAAGAGCCGATATGAATCGTCTAATAATGAACTATCTAGTAACTGGTAAGACTAGTGGAAATAACAATGTTAAGATTTACCGGTCATTTTGCAAGAGAAGCTATTTGTAGGTCTTTCTATAACAAAATTTCCTTATCAAATTAAGAGAAAGGTAACCCCGAAAGTAAAAAAAAGATCATCCTAGTGAAGAGATTATACCACAAACAATTGTTAGCCAAAGGCTCTATAGTAGCAATTACTCTCTTAAGTGGTTTACTGGCAGAAACAATTGTGCAGAATAATTCAGTTTTGTATTGCCACCACCTATAACCGTTGCTATATTCTTTACACAAGGCGAGAGTGGTTTCAGCATGAGATCATTCACAGAGATAAGTCTTTCCAGAATAATTATTTTTGCCTTGTTTTCTCAGACAGATTGGAAGCTTCCTCTGCTCCATGGTTGCAATGTAAAGTTCCTGGAATTTTAATCATTAATAACTAAACTTTTAAATTTTCAAGACCCTGTTATAAAGTTATTTTTGCAGACCCGTGATAATGTTGTCTAATTTTATGAATGGTAGATGGCGATTGTTATAACGGAATTACCAAGTGACCCTTTTCATATAGCATCTTGAAAAATTGACTTGAACAATTTTAAAATTTGGAAGTTTATCAGGGACATTTTTGAAACTGAAAACCAAGCATTGTTGATGGCGAGATCTTTTATCTGTGTTTTTTGTTTCAGAAGGTTTTAAGGAAGCAGCAGAGAAATTCAGAGTGGAATCTGGGATAGAGCCCAGTGTTGACTTAGACACCCTTGATGAGCGTATCAAAATTCGCGAAGTGATACTGAATGGACAAATCCAGGAGGCTATTGCACTGATCAATAGTCTGCATCCAGAGCTGCTAGATACGAACCGCTATCTTTACTTCCACCTTCAGGTAGAGAAGCCTTCACCACTGGTTATAAGGGAGGGGGAGCACATTTCATATCGAAAGGAAGGGAGAAAATCCATTTTTTGTGAAGCAAAATCGAGATTCTTTACTAAGAATGAGCAAGTGAAATATGGACCTTGCATACGTCTAGTTTTCTGAAATGGTGATAAGATAAAACTCAGATTTCCAGAAAATGAGTGCTACCGTTGAATAATGTCGAATTATTGTGAATCATTGCAGTTTTAGGTTAATGCTGGTAATCTTTCTGCCTGCAGCAACAACATTTGATTGAGCTGATTCGCCAACGAGAGACTGAAGCAGCATTAGAGTTTGCCCAGACTCAGCTTGCTGAGCAAGGGGAAGAAAGCCGAGAGTGTCTAACTGAGATGGAACGTACACTGGCCCTTCTAGCTTTCGATAATCCAGAGGATTCGCCATTTGGGGATCTACTAAATATGATGCAGAGACAAAAGGTAAGGCATGTTTCTGTTTGTAACTTATTGGCTTTGTTCACAGTTTTGAAAAGATCTTTGTTCAATTGGTTAAGGGAAGTTACTGTTTTCCCTTTTGCATTATTAAAATTTGTGTGAACAACATTTTCCATATTGGAGTCATGGTGCATGTTAGAGATTAGTGTGATTATTACTAATTTGTATGTAATTACATAACTTATTGCTCAGGATGAAATCTGTTGAATAAATAAATACCCTAGTATTTCAAAATGTTAAAGTTGCACTGGTTTATTTAGTCAACACTCTTGGGTTTCTTTTCATAAGTTTTACTTCAGCCATACCACTTCAGCTGGTAGGTTATTGCAGTTTATTGTGTTTTACACTGTTTCAGACTTTCATAAATTCTATTAAATAATTTTGGTTGTAGAAATTGAGCTTTGTCTTGAAACTGTTTCCCTTTTTTTCTGTATGTGTTTTCTTTGAAAATAAACTACAGTAGTAATTAATACATTTGTTAAACGGAAAAGATCAACGCAATACATTGCAACTTGATGGATTGATTACCTATCTCCAGTCTATTTTATTTAAAAACACCTATCATCATTTTAGGGGATAGTCACTAGAGTTCCTGTCTTTTGTTTTAGTTGCAGTATAAATATACAGTATAAATTGGTTTGTGTAGACAGATCAGAATGGATTATATATGTTTGGAAATATTGCATTTTTTATTGCCTTAGGTTTTGTGGCGCTTACAGGATGGGTTTTTGCTAGCAGAATAGAGGAAACAAAATACCTGGTTGGACCTTGAACAGCAAAACAGAATGGCTTATGAAATGTGTGCATTAAAAATCTTGATTTGATTCAATGAGCATTAGAACTTCATAAAAAATATTTTTTTGTAAAAGATTGAATCAGAAACTACTGTAACTGCAGCGCTGTGTTCTACGTATTGCTCCAGAAAATGCTCAAATTCAACTGCTGAAAGGGAATTTTTTGGGGGGCGCATACCTTTTTTTTATGGTGTTTTTCATAAATATTCCTGTTTCCTCAACTCCTTATACTTGGGATTCAAAATGATTATTGGTCTGTTCAGAATTGGTCTGGGGCCTAGACAAGCTTATACTTACTTACCTGTGTCAGCAAAGAGTTCTGTGAAAGCAAAGAAGGTCACAATTATTGCTAATTTTCTTATGTTCTACAAAAACAGTGTTTCTCCAATGTCGGTAATCTACCGTGGGCATTCTGGGAACTACAGAAGATTGCAAAGTTCTTGTGCTTTTGCAGTTCCCCAATTGATCAACAGTGGTGCTATAACAATGCAAACTGCAAATGTTTCTCAGAAAAAATGGAGGGCCACAATATAGATTATTAAGGTTTAAATTTGATGATGCCTGTAATGCTCATCTGATCCAAGTATGATTCATAAGCCTTGTACACTTTAAATTTGGATGTCTTAACTTTTTTAACTGGATATGATTTGAAATTAACTCATCTTATCTTTTCTTTAGGTGTGGAGTGAAGTAAATCAGGCTGTATTGGATTATGAGAATCGTGAATCAACACCAAAACTAGCCAAACTGTTAAAACTTCTATTATGGGCCCAGAATGAGTTGGATCAAAAGAAAGTTAAATATCCTAAGATGACAGATCTCAGCAAGGGAACAATTGAAGAGCCCAAGTAAAAGCTATTTGATGGGACTGAACAAGAGTATGAAGTGTCTTGCTGTACAATATTTACTGGTTACAGTATATCAGACTGGACTGTAATAAATTCACTAATAAATGACAGAACATGTGAATGACTTTCTGGTTAAGAGTAATCACATTTAAGGCTGGGATGAAGCCTGAAGCATCACTAATGTGTTACATCAGGGAACCCTGCCAGATGGCTGTGGAAGGGTCAAGGGATTGCAACATTCAACCCAGTCCTAAATTAATTTTGATGGTAACATAATTTTCCCAACTTCACACATTGCATTGAAAATACTGAATATTTGGTATTTGCTTTTGGCTGCTGTACAAAGTTTCTATTTGCAATTTTATTTGCTTCATGTCTTACAGTTCTGAATTGTATGTTTACATATTTTCAAAGCAACTTTACTAAAAAAAACTTTGTTAAATAAACTAATGTTTAATGGTCATTCTCTACTAATGTTGTCCATCTTACATCTGAGACTAACCTCACTTTTTACTGCTGGAATCTTCTGGTTAAGTTAACTGTTAACTCCAGTTAAGTTAACTGGAGGCCTGTAGCTCAGTGGTTAGAGCACTCGCCTTGCAAGCGAGACACCTGGGTAAAATTCCAGGCAGGGGAATTGGGCAAGTTTCCTTACTCCACACGCCTAATAATAATCCCTCCAAAAACAAAACAATAATAAATTGGTCATTCTCAATCCACGACTGTTTGTGGGACACTGCTGTGTGCAATTGGCTGTCGCCTTTCTCCCACAAATATACAGTCAATTCATTTTACAGTGTGTTCAATTCACTTTCCAATATATTCTGTAAAGCACTTCTAGAAGATGTCTGTAAAGCACTTCTGTAAAGACGTCTGGAAGATGTGAAAAGCGCTACATCGAATACAAGGATTATTATATACTCCATTGACTTAATATTATTTGGAGACAGTTATTTGGATGTAACATGGATACTTTATTTATATAAAAAAATGCAATTAGTAGAAAATAACCATTTGCTTTAGATTTTTGTCAGTCTCATTAAACTTTTCCATTTGTGCAGGAAAAAAAGGTTCACATGCTTGTTAGTTATCATTATCTAACTAAAATCCACTAGCTTGTGTGTAGTTGTCTTGAAACTCAAGGTTTTGTATATTCTGTGGCAATGGCTCACTCCGATATGATTTGTGTGTATAAATATATAGTATATATAAAATGCAGTACTTTGCTGGGAAACCAATAGTATAATAGAAATTTCCCTATACAAAAAGTGCTTCAGTCACCTTGACATTTATCTAATTCATTTAAACACTTAATTCATTTTGTGTGTGAATAACATTTATGTCCACTTCGGTGAAATGTTTTGTTTTTAAAAAAATAGTACAATTCTCATATAAATCTACCAGTTTGTAAGAGCGTCTCCGTGCATCGTTTGGAAAGGTACAAATGAGAGATCAACAATGACAGTTCTATAGCTCAGGCATGTAGATTTTGAATGGTAACGTTCCAGAGAAAATAGTTTTAAATACTTAATTCATTTTTCATAACTTTATATTGTTGATCACTTAGTTAAGAAAATCCAAACGTAATTTGTCATGTAAATATTCCCGTTTTTAAAAAAAAAACAAATGTTACTGAGGCAAAGATGGAATGAATGCTGGTCCAAGAATAAGAACATTTGTAAAGAAATAAATGTGAACTTGATTTTTTTTTTGTCCTTCCACCTCCACCCCGCTCCTCTTTCTTTTCAAGGTGTAGTGTTACAGTTTCATGGTTTAGGGCCCCAGTCCAAATTCTTGAAGTAAGTAGCTGCTCAGGGATATGGTAAGAAAATTCTGCATCCTGCACGTTCTTCAGAAATGGCTGCGATTCTACATTGAAATTCCAATTGTGTTAACTGTAGTTGTAGCCTTCTTAAGAGGAGTCCTGGCTCAAACAAGTTTTCAGCAACTCAACTGATGGCTGATTAATGCAAATCTACAAATTAAATATGCTCTATGAAAATGTACGGTATTGGTGCCCATAATTTTCTCACTCATAGTTCACTGTTACAGTACCTTGGATATTTTCGACTGAATAAGTGCTGAATTTTCTGCAAGAATTAGATTTTCTTTCAGCTTCTCCTGGAAGTTTATTTTATTGTGGTTCAGCTTGGCGCACTGCAAACTGTTCCAATACGTGCTGCAAATCTTGATTTTTTTTTGTACTTCACTGATGACTAGGTAACTATGCATAACCCATTTTTTTTCTGGTTTAGCTCTGAAGCTTTGCCAGAAAATATCAACACCTACACAATGCGTTCGGTTATCAGAAGTTGGCATCTTCCCAATACATTCTGTCCCAAATATTTAAAACGGGTAGCAATTTGAAATTCGTGAGAGTTGATGATTCGTAACAAATCTTTCAAGGTGACCTTTGCGCTGTGAAGTAAACTTAGGCATTACAAGACCTCTCATCACAGAACATGGAATCGGTTGCACACAATGGGGAAGAGTTCAGTCAGAAGTATAAACACATTCAAGTGAACGGTCTCCCTGTTGCAGAGCAGATGGATTTCAAGATCTCTCCTTGTTTACAAAGAGCTGCGGTACAGTAACTGCTGTTTTAAGTGTAGTGACTATCTGTAACGCAAACCTGACAATTGTCTCACAACCAGAACTGTGGAGTCCTGTAGCTCAGTGGTTAGAGCACTCGCTTTGCAAGTGAGAGACCGGAGTTCAATTCCAGGCAGAGGGCGAAACCTTGGGCAAGTTTCCTTACTCCACACAGAGCCTAATAATAATACTCCAAAACCAAAAACAATAATAAATTGGTCATTTTCAATCCGTGACTGTTTGTGGGACATTGCTGTGCGCAATCGGCTGCCGCGTTCGCCCACAAATAGACAGTCGATTCACTTTACAGTGTGTTCTGTGAAGCGCTTTGGGACGTCCTCCCGACGTGAAAAGCGCTATATCAAATGCAAGGATTAATATTATTATTAACCATGTCTCACCACCGGATAATGCACGAATGACCCAATTAGTTAGCCAGGAAAGAAAGCCCTCTGCTTTTTCAAGGAGCTTCCAGTATATATTTTTTTTGTTCTGGGGATTGGGGTGGGGGGTGGGGGGGGGGGTGTTGGGAGGGTACATTTTGCACAGTGTAGGGGTTTGGATTGTGATCCCTACAGCAGACAAGGGAGGCATTGCAGGTGAGCAGAAAGAGGTGCAATTGCTTGCTCTCCACCCATCACACCAGGGTCAAGGCAAACCCCCTGCTGAGGGAGGGAGGGAGGGAGGGAGGGAGGAGGTCTCTCCTCTGGATGGGGTTTGGCAGAGCTGTATTTCCTGTTCCCACCAAGAGTACAGACCCGGAAGTCCCAGGAAAATGTTATCGACGTGAGAGTGACACGTGTAACAAAACAGATCCCGAGCTGCAGGAAGAGAGAAAGAGAGAGAGAGAGAAAGAAAGAGGGAAAGGGAAAGGGAGAGAGTGGAGGAGCAACGAAGCAGAGGGACCTGGAGGCTCAAGATGCCACTGATGGCTGCCCCCAGGGAGATGGGTTGGAGCTGCTTTTGGTGACTTGGCTCTCAATGTACTCTCCTCATCGTCCTGACATCCAGCAGCTCCCAGGGCTACACTGACCACTGGCTCTCCTTTCTCCTGTGGGGGGTGGGGGGGTGGGGGGAGGTGGGGGGTGGTGGTGGTGGTGGGATGCGAATAGAGAAAAAAATATATATAATAACGACTGTGATGGTGGCGTCTGCTGTGTTTCTCGTGAATTGCATGAATTAATTCATGGCTTTTTCCCTGAACCCAAATGCTGCTCATCACATCAACCAGAGCGAAGTGGTCCTGTTTAACCATTCCGAGTCACCAAGACCTTCGGCCGCCAAGACGACTTGCGACTCCGACAGTACGTATTGGTCAAGGTAAGACTATCACTGGGTCCTGTTAGCTCCAAAGGATGGGGAGAGGGTGAGAAAGAAAATAGCCATAGCTGTCTGTTCCTGTTGGGCTGCTTACATCACCCCCCCCCCCCCACCCCCACCAACATCCCCTTCCAGGGAATAATGTACTTGCCCTCTTTAAGTAATAATGAATAATAATCCTTGCATTTGTTATAGCGCCTGATCACATCTCCGAGACGTCTCAAAGCGCTTCACAGAATAGACTGTAAAGTGAATTGAACTGTATATTTTGTGGGCGAAATGTATTAAGCGTCAGAACATTAAACACAAATCACTCAAAGGAATTAAAGAAGAAATTCTGCTTTTTTTTAAAAAAAATTTAAAAAAGAGACATCTACGTTTACAAAAAAAAAGTTCGTGTGGATTCTTCAGCTGTGTTTTTTTTGTATCTGCCCTATTCAAAGTATCTGTGGTATATAAAATGTAACTGTTAGAGGAAATTGGCGAATACTGTAGTGTGTGCGATTCGAATCAGGGAGAACATCAGTTCTTAAGAATGATAGAGGGAAATATCTCACAGACACAAAACAGCAGCATTATTCAAAGCATATTGAATAGAGAGCAAATGCCATATGATTCTATGTATTGTTGAGCCTTTCATCTCGAGTAAAACTAAACATATTAATATTCGCTCACAAATATACAGTCAATTCACTTTACACTATATTCTGTCAAGCGCTTTGAGACGTCTCGAAGACGTGATAAGGCGCTATATCAAATGCAAGGATTATTATTATTAAATCCAATACCTTTGTCGTCAAGTTGTCCAAGCTGGGAGTGAGCTGGGCAGAGTTCATTTTGGTTAATAGGTTTGGGATTTTTACACAGAGAGCTAGGAAAATAGGAACTAAAGGAAGCTTTTGTCTATTGAACCTGTTTATCAGTTTTTAATCTTGGTACATCTAAACGTCAAAATACCAGTGCTTTGTATCATGTAACCATATCTGTAAATGCATGACTGAGATACTCATGCCTATTCTATTACACAGTGACTGCATGCATGTATTTTGCCAAGACCTATTTTTGTTGCTGCCAGGGAAGTTCATTTTAAGTAACTTTACTCTTTGCATTCATTTATGTTCTTTAGCAAAGCTCCACACTGTGGCTTGCAGTAATAATAATAATCCTTGCATTTGATATAGCACCTTATTACACCTTCTAGACGCCTCAAAGTGCTTCTCAGAATATACTGTAAAGTGATTTGACGTAATAATTTGTGGGCGAAACGTGGCAACCAGTTGCGCACAGCGGTGTCCCATAAACAGTCGTGGATTCAGTGACCGAATTATTATTATTATAGTATCTTCAATCCTCCAGTAACTGAAATATCTACAATCAATCCCTGCAGATCCCTGCGTGGAGTCCTGTAGCTCAGTGGTTAGAGCACTCGCTTTGCAAGTGAGAGACCCGAGTTCAGTTCCAGGCAGAGGGCGAAACCTTGGGCAAGTTTCCTTACTCCACACAGAGCCTAATAACATTCCCTCCAAAACCAAAAACAATAATAAATTGGTCATTTTCAATCTACGACTGTTTGTGGGACATTGCTGTGCGCCATTGGCTGCCGCGTTCGCCCACAAATAGACAGTCAATTCACTTTATAGTGTGTTCTGTGAAGCGCTTTGGGACGTCCTCCCGACGTGAAAAGCGCTATATCAAATGCAAGGATTATTATTATTATTATTATAACATTGGTCATTCACCTCATGGCCATTGTGGGACATTGTTGTGTGCAAATTGGCTGCCACGTTTATCTGCAAAGTGACACAGTTATCACACTTTACTGCAATGTCCTTTGAAATGCTTTGAGAGATTCTCCCAAAGTGAAATATACTGAAATGCAACATTGTAGTAATACGTTAGTGGCAATATTTTCATGTTGTGCGTAACACAATTTAATAACTTTGTGTTTGTCATTTTGACAGGTTAGAAGCGAAGATATGGATTGTTGTTTTGTTGATGGGTACATGCCTGCTATACTGTGCCAGAGTGACCATGCCTATCTGTATATCTGCGATGGCAGAACAGTTTAAGTGGGACAAGAAGCAGTCAGGCATTGTACTTGGAAGCTTTTTCTGGGGCTACACCTTGACCCAAATTGCAGGAGGTTACATCAGTGACAGGTATGAACGAAATCCTGCAATTTACGTTTACATGATATTTGAGCACTACAGAAAATAACTAGGATATTTAATAAATAGGAATCACGGAGGTACCATTTAATCATGAGTAAATAGCTTACAATTGATTTTGTTCACTGTGTACGGTGGTGGGTTTGGGCTAAAGTACAAAGCCAAGTGTTTCAGTACTTTAGCTATATGGCTGCAATCAAAATGCAAAACATTGTCTGTATACATTGTCCAGTTCCACATTTATACAGACAATTCCATGATGATTTCATTGAAAATGCTACATCTTTATTTACGATCAATCATCACAAATAAAATCCTAATAAGACGAATGTCCATTGCTTTTAACAGATTGGGAGGAGATAAAGTACTACTGCTTTCAGCCTTTGCCTGGGGAACTGTAACCATCTTAACTCCACTCCTAGCATATTGCAGCTCTACACCAATATTCATTCTAACCTTATCCAGATTCTTTATGGGGTTACTGCAGGGTGAGTAGCAACAATATGTATTTAATAATATATATTTAAAGTTCATAATGTTTGGAGTCAAAATCATTGCTTTCTTCTCAACATCAGTTTCATTGATCCCAACTGGCTAAACCACCAAATTTGATTATTAAAAATATGTATTTTTGATATTTTTCTGTACTGGAATTTAATTTTTGTGTTGACAAGTAATTAAACAATAACAGAAAGCATTTAGAACATTTGCCTATTTTGCATGAATATGTTCATAAAATTACTGGTTACATTGGAAATGTTGGCCAAGATTTTGAATGCTATTTAAGTTCTGATGTTATTCAATCTTATCTGTGTTGGCTAGACTTCAGAGGTAAAGAAAATATATACTTATTAAGTGGTCAAAATGAAGATCTTCATAGTAGGACTATACATTTATTTAATTATACCTTTATTTACATATAGCAGAAACCAGGCCCATCGGCAACAGGAAAACATTAGGTTTTTACCTTTTAGAGTACCCGAGTCTGATGTCTTAAGCCGATGTATGTACCGTTACACAGATGGCAGCAGTCCTCACCCGAATGGCCTCCTTCTGTGCTGTATACTTCTATGAAATGGCCATTCTTTATGTCTGTGCATCAGTGAGTTGATCACAGTTGCACCCAATCTTATCCTTGTCTGTTAAGTTCCAGCAGAGGTCACCTGACAGTGATCAGGACAGAGAACACTGGTTGCTAATTATTTTTCTCTCCTTAGTCTGGGATGAAACCCCAGCACAGCCACCGGCAGTTCAGTTGAGATTGGCTGACTATGTACCAACCAGGGATTGAACCCGGGACTTTATTTGCTCAGAATGACAAAGTATTAACCTATTAATTACACCAAATAATGTATTCACCCACTGACCCAACAGGTGAGCTGCTATTGGCCCTGGTTTGTGTTTGAATGTGCTCAGGCACAATAGGTGAGACTTAAACAATTTGTTTTTATAAAATATTTTGCTGTAGTTTGAAGAGCGTCAGATTTCAGCCCAGATGTATCTTCTTTTTCACAGCTCCTTTTTTGGCCATCAACACTTTTCGGTTTGAAATCAATATTATACGAGTCCTTCAAGGGTTTCACCACTTGACATCTTTTGCACATTTGTGCTTCCAAAAATAACCGATTGCAATCTTTGCAAGATTTTGCACAGTGTTTGCATTCTGTTACTGATTGACTGACAATGCGAATATGGCTTCTGGCGACAAGTAGTGGATCAGAATCCATTGCGCTGATGTTAAAAGCTATGTTAAAAGCGGCATTGTTTTGGTCTAACTCTACACCTCTGAGGCTCTTTCAATTTGAAAAAACGCGATTGAGTTTAGCGATCAGATGGAGTAATCATTTAATATCCTTGTTTGGTTTGGGAGTTTAGGTGTTCATTTCCCTTCCCTGGCAAGTCTATTCTCCTGTAAGGTGCGGCAAAGTGAGCGAGCGTTTACGTCAAGTACAGTGTGCACAGGCACTCAGTTTGGGTAAGTCACATGTTTTAGGCTAAGGCACAATATAATTGTTGTTATTTATTGCAGGTTACGTCAGTTCCATATTGACATGGTAACTCCAAACTTGTCTGATTTTTGTTAAGGCATTTTCCAAGTTATTTGGTCCATTTTCATGCTCGAAGTATATAAGTGCGTTACATTTTCAGAATATGCTTCTAATTGGCCCCAGTGAACCACTTTTGACAATTTAGAGATGAAACAAAAGCTGGAATATGGCGGGTTTTTTTCCTTCTCTTTGCCTCATGCATCCTGCTTCCCACAAAATAGAGTAATTGCTAATTAGCTGAGTAAGGGGGAAGGAAGTTTTTAGTCTGGTAGTGTCAGCCGCAGGAAATCAAGCCCAGATCTCATTTGGAGTTGGAACTTTTCCATTTGGTAACCTTGCCTTGGGTTGAAGTAATTTGGGGAATCGTGAAGAAAAAATCAAAATTGCCCCCACATTACGTTTACATCTTTACACTCCCTTTCACAGTTACACTTGTAGGCTGTAACAAACTACCGTGCCAAAGTACAGGACTGAAATGTAAAACTCCTTTCGAAATGAGAATGGCTCAATGCGCCATGGCAGGCATTATGACATTGTGACAATGGAGGACTTGGAGCTCACGGCCTGGCCTGGTGTTCCAGTGCGGTGGTGGGAGGAGTAATCCATTGACTGGGTGTCATCCTCCCGATGGGACATTGAGACCGAGATTCCTTCTGCCTGATCGGGTGGGCGTTCAGTCTATTCCCGTAACCCTATTGCAGAGGAGTCTATTATTATTGATATTATTTTAATCAATAGGTAATTACAGAAGTCCAGTATAGAGTTAGTAGGATAGGATTAGATTAGAGACTAAAAGAGTGCTGATCATTTCCATGAGTATTTGCATTTTGCCACTGGGATGTTTCCACAGGTTTACTAGACTGGATGCTTTCTCTTTCCAGAACACTGATAATCGGTGGAGCAGGCTCGGTGTTGCTCGACAGATGTGGTTGGCAGAGTGTCTTCTACTTTTCTGGCCTTCCTACCATACTGTGGGTCTACTGCATGTGGGAATATCTAATCAAAGGACAAGGTATTTATGCATTTTATGCATATATTTGGTGTTTCTTTTTTTTTTGTCTTTCAATCACAGTTTCTTTTTTTCGGTGTTTGTTTTTGAGGCTGTGTCTTGGTGACCCACCGTAACAATTTATGTCCTGCGTAGGTCATGAGATATCGTTGGAAAGTTTGAGCAATCGTCTTACGAATTCACAGGGCAACGAGGTGCCATGGATAAAGCTGTTTAAAAAACCATCTGTCTGGTAAATGACCATTTTACATTGGTCTTTTCTGGGTCATTGCAAACCGTTTAGCAAAGGAAGCAATAAAAGTGTGACGGTTCACTAGTGCTTTTATCTCCAAAGTTAATCTTCAACTCCTGCAAGCATTTTTTTTGCAAAATACAGTGTGATCATCTGTGCTGAAAGGAAGAACTGGTCATTCTGTTGAAAAACATGATTTCAGTATGTAGTAAATAGGGATGGAATTTTCTGCAAAACATTTGTTTTAAAATCTATTCGAGGCTGCCAGAGTCGGACTCGGAGGTTTGTAGGGTCATGGGTGTAAAATGTTGACCCTTTATATGACAGTCTTCATTTTACGAAAAAAATTAGACTATTGCAGCAAGCAAATGCAGTAATTTGTTTGAACAGATTTATAAACAGGTAAAGTGACGTCAAAGACCAGCATCCTGTTTGGAGGGGCTTGCATGACTTGAACTCACATAGCCTAAATTGACACTCTGATGCAGTGCAGGGCTGGGGGTGTGTTGCTTTATTGGAGGTGCCGTCCTTCAGGCGGTCCCCTCTGCCTGTTCAGATAATAATAATAATAATAATAATCCTTGCATTTGATATAGCGCTTTTCACGTCGGGAGGACGTCCCAAAGCGCTTCACAGAACACACCTTAAAGTGAATTGACTGTATATTTGTGTGCGAACGCGGCAGCCAATTGCGCACAGCAATGTCCCACAAACAGTCGTAGATTGAAAATGACCAATTTATTATTGTTTTGGGTTTTGGAGGGATTATTATTAGGCTCTGTGTGGAGTAAGGAAACTTGCCCAAGGTTTCGCCCTGACCTGCCTGGAATTGAACTCAGGTCTCTCGCTTGCAAAGCGAGTGCTCTAACCACTGAGCTACAGGACTCCACCCCAGATGGACATTAAAGGTCCCGTGGTACAAACTCTTGATTGTCCAGCACCTTGGAACGTTCTCCCGACATGAAAGGTGCTACATAAATGCAGTTTGTTGTTGTTGTTGAGTTATATATTGTATGTTAGTAACATTAGCGAGTTTTTTTTTTATTCAGTGAGTTGTCTTTTTTTCCCGGTGTCCATTCCCTTTCCAGCCCAGGTTATTTTGCCACCTGCCGGGTTTGTTTAATTTCATTGTGTTTTGTCCTGTTTATCCCAATACGTCTCATTTCATAACAGTTAACTGTTTTACTTTTTTAACAGGGCTGTCATTGTAGCTCACGTTTGCATGGCCAGCACTTTCTTCTGCATTTTGTCGTGGATCCCAACCTTCTTCCATGATTCATATCCCGACTCTAAGGTGTGTTGCCATGATATTTTGTCTCTGACTTGTCCAATGTGCACAGTTAATAATAATGATAACAGTCCTTGCGGTTAATCTAGTGCCTTTCATGTCGGGAGGATGTCTCAAGGCACTTCACAGGATATACTGTAAAGTGTAGTGACCGTGTATTTTGTAGGCAAAGTTCTTCATAGCGTGCATTGGATCTAACCCATCTGCAACATCTAGAAGCTCCAACATTCGAGTCAGAAGATTTTTGGGTTGAAGCATCAAGTCTGGACTTTGAACTGAATTAGTCTAGGCTGACACCTCAGTGCAGCACTGGGGGTGTGCTGCATATTCTGAGGTGCCGTCCTTTGAACGTAACCTTAAACCGAGGTCCCACCTGCCTGTTCAGGACATTAAAAGGGATGGAACTTTCTCCCTGTCATCTGGCCAACAATCCCTCGAATAAAACACTGGTCATAACTTCATGGCTGTTTGTGAGACACTGCTGTTTGCATATTGACTGCTGCATTTGCCTACAAAATTTACAGTCACTACAGTTTACAGTATACAATGGAATGCTTTTGAGACCTCCCAACACGAAAGGTGCTGTATCAAATGCAAGGATTGTTACTTTTATTACTTTTTATTATTAAAATACTTTGTATATTCCATGGGATGCTTTCAACAGTAGTTAAAAGCGCTTTGGGACATCCTCCCGACGTGAAAGGCGCTCTAGAAATGTAATTTTATCGTTGTTGTGCAGGGAGATGAGAGGCTGCAATTCAAAATGTTCTATACTATAAAAAGGCAATTGTTTGTACATGGAATCGCACAGGTGTTTGATGTTGCTACAAATTCCCTGAGTGCATACTGTGGAGTGGAAACCTGAAGTTCTCATTAACAACCAAAACTAAGTGTAACCAAACAGATTAATTTAGTTTATTGAGGAATGACTCATGTTATCCTGTCTGACTGCATAGCATCAGGAAACCTGTATTCAATTGTGTTAATATTTGCGTTCAGAATTCTTTTTTAAATTAGCTTTGAAAAATGTACAAACTGTGTAATGTTTTGGCGGTTTTAAATGCAGCCATACAGTAGACAGAGCAATAATTAACTCCTCTAACTGATCTTTGCATTGATATATGATGGAACTGTGTACCAGTCTTGCCACTGAGAACATTGTTATAAAGTCTGTCAGGTTTTGTGAGATCCTGAGATGTACATTAACTTTATATAATCTCTTTTGCGCCTCCTTTTTGATTGGAAAAGCGATGCATTAGTGTAATCAGATGAGCAGCTGATAAACTGGAATTTCTACCACGTTCTGATTATACTTATTTCTTACCTTAAAAAAAATAGCTTGGCCATTCACTGCTTAACACTGAACGATTGAAACTAAACTTCCCGACATTTGATCTCGGTGGACATTGCTTGCTTACTGTCTTTATGTTCCAGGGCTGGATTTTCAATGTAGTGCCATGGGTCGTGTCAATCCCATTATCCTTGATGGGTGGCTTGCTGTCCGATCATCTGATCAATCTTGGTAAGAAACAGCCTCAACTGGGTCCTCGAATTCCAACTACTACAACAACAACTTACATTTGTATAGTGCCCTTCACATGGGGTAGCTTTTGACAGTGGCGGAGTATGAACCCGAGCCAGGGTGGGGGCAGGTCTATACTATGTATACACCATACTATGTATTCTTGCAGCCTCAAGTAAAGAAAAAAGGTTCCTGTACCAACCAGATATTGACTGAAGAAAGATTTGGGGGGGAATAGATCATTTTAATTTGAATAAAAACTGTGTAGAATGTTTTCTGCCCGTTTTACTAAATCATGAGGGACTCATGCATTTTGGGTCCCTGCATTTTGGGTTTCCAGAATCAGTTGTGATACATTTTAAAGGTGTCACTTGAGAATATTTTTATGATTGGAAGTTTCATTCCAAGAAAGAGAAACCAAGTAACAAAATAATCTTGTGATAAGCAGCTGTGATCTAATTTCAATTCAGGTTTTAAAAGATCATATATTATATCACATAAACATTCTAAAACTTATAATCATCTGAATTCCTTATGTCTACTTTGTTCTAAAATTGCTCCAGCAAGGTTTTGGAGTTGCAAGTTATTAATTTTCAGGTTTTATTAGTAGGTCAATAAATCAGTATCTTATCTGTGGAACATTTCATAATAGTGGTTTGGTTGTGACTCAAACCTATTCCATTGTCAACTAATTTCACACATAAGCGTTACATGTAAAATCACGTTTTCAATGTCCTTCCCTTTCAATAACTATTTTCTTGTTTGTTTCAGGGTTCAACACTGCTAAAGTGCGTAAATTAATGCAGGTAAGATGTTGAAAAACGTCTTTTTAAACAATTGGTAGTAGTTTAGGCATGTGTATGAATGCAACAAAAACAGCTCCCACATTTTCATGTATTGTTTCTCTTTTTTGCTGTTTCCCATCAGATGGTTGCAATGGGAATGTCCAGTATCTTTATAAAATTATTGTGTTACTCATCCAGCTATTACCGATCCTTACTGTTTGTATCTGCCGCTGTAGGACTTCAGACGTTTAGCCACAGGTAAGGACAGTTAATTATGCACAACATTAGGGAACTCTTTCACTGAGTCAAGTCGGGTGAAAGGTTTTCTACGATCTGAATCATACTTTGTCCTTGAGGATTTTCTTGTTTTTTTTTTTGATTTCCCAAATACATTTTAAGGGCATCATTTGAAAACCTTGGCAGGCTCTTCGATCATGGGAAGGGGAATCAATCAGATTCACCTTCTCACCCATCAGGATAGGGGGATTAAGGGATATGGGGATAGGGCGGGTAAATGGAATTAGGTTAGAAGAACAGCCATGATCTTATTAAGCGGCGGGGCAGGCTCGAGGGACCGAATTCCTACATCTTATGATCTTATGGTCTTATCAACCTCATCCTGGCACCGTGCTGCAGATGCCATTGAATTAATGATTGCAATGACTTACTTGCTCAAGAATCTGGCTGAACTGTAGATAAAAGTATGCTGTGGGAGAAAAAGCCACAGTCCAGCTGTTCTTGAAACTAGCCCGCAATTCTGTTTCTGTTTTCAATAGCGGGTCTTCTGTGAATGTCCAGGACTTAGCACCCTCGTGTGCTGGATCACTGTTTGGTAAGTAGTACTTTATATCAAATCTTCCCTGGTGAACGGTAGGTAGCGATTGTAGGATTCAACCACAAAATTCACACAGTCGCACCACTTTACATTTCTGTGAAGCGCTTCAGGACATCACAACAATGTGATAAGAAGCTACGAAATTGTAAGGATTAATAGCAGTGGTAGTAATAAATGTTCAGAGCCTGAAGTTAGCAATGAGATCCAAAACCTGGATCTAAAAGTTTGAGCCTAGATTTGCAAAGGATTGAGTTCTGCCTGTAGTGTAACGTAAGGTCTCTCTTTGACATGATTCTCTTCCAGCTGTGATGGAACAGAGTTCCACATGACCCAATGCCGTGATTCATCTCTGTGTTGGCCAATGGGCTTCAAAATTATGAAGGCTCCATGAATCCATGCTGCATCTCCCACATTTTAGACCTCAATATGTACAACGTCTGTTTCTCTCTGTCAAATTGCAGCTTTGCAGTTGTACATTCTCACAGTATTCAAGCCCACTTAAACCACGATAGAATCTCTCACTAACCCTAAAGGTGGCTGTATTTGTAACTGAATTTGCACTGGAGACTTAGAATTGTTACTAACATTTCACTGTGAACCTCTGAGAAGTGAACATTTTAGTCAGTATGAGGATACTTCAGCATTTCTTTTGAGCATTTAATCTCCTTGGTTAAAACCAGTAGAATGTCAAATCAAGCTTCCCAATGAGCAGCAACAACAACATCAACAACAACATTACATGTGTAAAGCACCTTTCACGTTGGGAGGATGTCCCAAGGCACTGGACAGTCAGTGCTTCAGACCCGAGCTGGGGATCGGGATTGGGGAGGGTGGAGGCCAGGGGGGGAAGCAGGGAGATCGAAAGCACGGTCGAAGAGGAGGATCTTGAGATGGGTCTTGAAGGAGGCAAGGGAGGGGGCGAGGCGGAGGCACTGTGGGATGGAGTTTCAGAGGGTTGGGGCGGAGTGGCAGACGGGGGGACGTGAAGCAGGCCGGAGCCCACTGAGCGGAGGGAGCGGGCAGGGTGGTAGAAGCTTAGGAGGTCGCAGAGGTAGGGAAGGGGTCTTTGAAAGTAAATTATTCTGAGCGAACGTAAGTCTTACTTTGTAAAAATATTTTTTTCCTCTTCATGCAGGTGTTATGAACACTGGTGGAGCCTTAGCAGGTTAGTAATTGTTTGCTTTTTAGACGCGTCCAGTATTATGTGTGGTATAGTTGAATGTGTAGTTTTTGTCATTACCCTCTGTAATATATTCACTCCAGAGCTGTGCTATGTGGTTGGTTCACACGTCACCACAGCTATGGAATTTGAACTTTTGAGAACTCAAGCGACTGAGGTTTGCTTTGTGTCTTATCCCCACGTGTGCTGCACGAGAGACCTTCACTGAATAATCTGCTTCTGTCCTCTTACGAAATCCCTGAAGCAAGCATTTTAAGTTTCAGTACAATCAGGCACATAAAAAAAAATCCTATCATTTGTATAAGTTCTGCAAGCACAAATAACAAGCATTTTTGTTAATTCACACACCATTTTCCTTCTTCTGTCCCAAAAGAAGTAGAAATCAATGTTTAAACTGTTTTTCCTTCTGCACAGGAGTTGTCTTAGTATACTTCGCAGGATATCTGATAGAAACCACAGGATCTTGGCCTTTTGTTTTTAACCTGGTCAGCATAATTAACATGTTTGGGCTTTCCGTCTACATGATCTTTGGTCAGGCCACACGAGTGGACATTTAAAGGAGTTCAGTTGAATTCTGGACTTCAAGAGAATTCAGAACATGCTGCTGAACCAACCCAATTTTACAAGACGAAAGAGAGACTATGATTTTTAAATGTTTATATTGCTCTAAATTGCATTCAAAGTTTATGATCTGAGGAGTCTTCGACCTTCCGTTATTTACCTTATTTATAAACTAGTTATTGTAGAACTTTTCCAACAAGCAGCACTAAAGTGTGAAAAGTAACTTTTATGTTGTTCCCACTGATTTTCTTTGTACAAAATTTGCCAGAGATGCTATTTTTACATGGACAGAGCATTTATCAAAATGTAAAGATATAGTTTTAATGAAAAAGAGATATATGGGGTCTTCGTGTTATTTTTCAGCAAGACTGAATGTAGAAACGGTATTCTTAAAGGGATTTCTCTTCATTTACTGAAAATCAGGATTAAACTTATATTAAAAAAAAATGCAGTTTAATTTGTCTTCAAAACTTTAATCAGAATGTATCATAGCTGTTAATTCAGTGACTGGAGGCACTGAAGTTGATAGCTAACTGCAGGCTTATAGCTGATTTATAAACTCAGTTACTGCTTAGTAGTGTGCCAGTATACAAATAATGAAGGCAAATGTTGATCTAGGTTTTTTACTTACAGGTATATATTATACAACTTAGTTTTCTCTAGGGGAAAAATAGATGTGAATTCAATATGCATTTATACAGCGTCTTTCACATTGGGATAGGCGTCTCCGAGCACTTCACAATGCGGGCTGGGTAACTGAGCTAGGTGGGAGCAGTCAAAAGTGTGTGTCTCGTGACAGGCTTTGAACATGGGGAATGAGTTGGAGGCACTCTGGGATGGAGTTTCGGAGAGTGGGGCAGAATGATTGAAAGCTCACCTGGTGATGGTGGGGTGGATCGAGAGAGGGACCATGCAGTCGAGTGTTTGCTGAGCAAAGGGAACATCTCAGTCGATAGGCTTTTCAGAGGTCACAGAGGCAGGGTGGGGTGAGGCTGTGGAGGGATTTACTGGTGAGGGTTATAGCTGGGCAAGGATGGAGATGATAGGCTTAAAACTGAAATAAACCGCAAATTGATTATGTTCAATTGATTATATTTTGGGCCAGTTTTCCAAACTTAGATGTTTTTAAATGTACTGTACACAAATTTAAAATTTTACTGTATGCGAGAAGTAAAACTTCTGTATGTTACGTTATTAAAAGTCTGTATTGCTGTAAATTTATAGGTTGTGTATTTGTTTATTTTAAGTCTATATATCGATGGATATTTTTGTAATAATTGTCATAGTAAGAATGACCGGTTAACTTGAATTTAAATTCTAGCAGAGTCGACTAAACCTTTCCACCTTCTGATTGTGGGGATTCTCACCGATAAAGTTGCTTCGTTGAGAACGAAGTTCATTTTCAAAATTTATGTACAATGTATAAAATATATATTATTTACTTCAATGGAATGTCACACAAATTCATTTCCGTGTATCGAGCACATGGTGAGTGTCATCTGCATCAGTCGGGGCTGTTCATCATTTTCAGCATTTAATTGCAAAAGTACATCATTTAGGTTATTTTGTTACGTTACAGCATTGCTATGCTATTTAAGTATCAGAGATTTGAAATTACAAACCAAATACGATGCCTTTTAACTTGTTACAAAAATAATTATTTTACACATCCTCTCTGATATAGGATTAGTGACATCATTTAAGTCTAAGATAATTTACACAAATCAAGACTATAATTTTAACATGTTTAAATTGCTAATGATAATGAAGGAGGTGTTTGATAGCTGTCTTTGGATCTGATGGCTAATGCTTCAATGGAATAGGATTCAATAGAATAGCTTTAAACTAGTTAGAAATATTTATACTTCAAGACTCTTTGTTTTCCAGTGTTTGGAGAACTTTATGTAATCTTCAACCCTGTCTAATTGTTGAAAATGATATCTTGCCCTTTATGCTTCACTTTGAAGAGTTCACTGTTTACGATTTAAAAATGTGACATTTGATGCTGCCAAAGAAATTAGTCGTTTTAAAATAAACTCGAATTCTTGATTCATAAATGTTACTATCCGAAGCAATGTGCAACGGATACGTATTTCAATACAATGGATTTTTATTTTATTTTGTTAGAAAAAAATGACTATTTAACGGTATAGCATTGTGTAGGTTATTGTGTGCCATCCTGTATGAAAGGCTAATTAATAATGAATAATCCATCCCTTGTATTAAAACAGTGCAGAAGCAGGTAGCCATCATTTGTTGAACTCTGTTATTTGTCCATTGGTACCACAGAGGAAATTCTTCATATTATACTGTACTTCCAATAGGCATCAGACTCACATTTGTCTGACTAATGTCCTTGCTACAATTTTCAAATGATGCAACAATGTCATCAAGAATGTAAAAATAACAAGAGATGGGTATGAATTCTAAACAGTGCCAGTGTTTGTGTAAATAGCAATTTACATGTAAGTTTTAGTTTAGAAGTGCTGGTAGTTTCATTTCTTCATTCCCTGAATTAAATGCAAAACCTGTATTATTTATAAGGTGAAAATAACGCCAATGCAATGGTATTAACAGAACAGAAATGTCACGTAGAAAAAAATCCCACGCTGCACGTAGATATTTGTCTCCTTTGCACAAAGAGTGAATGGTTCATACAGAATGTATCTTACAGCAAGTGTAGTTATTTCTGTAATATATGGTCTGTCTTTACATTATGGTCATCAGTACTTTGTGGGAGCAATGCAATTGTGTTTATTTTTCTATCTTGAAAGGATAAAATCGATAATATTTTTAAAATAAACTGTCTAAGCAGTTCAACGCTACTGTTGTCCTTGTTTAAAACATTAACTATTAAATACAAGTTTAAAATATTGTGGAATGCTTTTCAAGTTCTCTTACAAATACGTGTACATCAGATGTTGAAAGCCAAAGGCCTTATTTGAATTGCGTGTGTTCATCAGGGTGTGAGTGTTTGGGAGATATATACCTTCCAACTTTCCAGTGTCAAAGCACTTCCATACAAGGAATAGCTTGGTTGTAAGATTAAAAACCTCTGTACTTTCTCCCAATGATATGCTATAATCCCATCACCTGGAGTGCACTCCCTTCCACAAATAAGGCAAATTTCTGCTTTCTACGCCAACCCTTCTCGTAGTCTTTCTATAAGTGATAATTCAGCATGATGCATGATGTTGAATTATGGACAACAATACTGTACGAGTTTAGATTGGAAGATTCTCAAGGTATTTATTTTCTCTCAGGATCAGCTGAGAGAGAACCCTGGAGTTCCGAAATAAATACCTTGTGAATCTTGCAAAGTAAAGTGCATCAAAGAAGGAAGGGCAATCAATAACAGACTTGTATTTGGGGCAGGAATAGTTAAGTTACCTCCCTCTGTTCTTCCAGTAGAGGGCGACTTTCTACCTCAAAATCCATATTTAGGATTTACACAAACCTGTGAAAAGATGATCCTCGACATACCTGACAAGTCTGACGATGCAAAGGAAAACGTTTTTTCCCCCTCACAAAATCTCACAGAAGTGTTATTGAGAGCTTTTGGTTCAAATTTAAAATACCTGTAATAATGTAATATATCGCTAATGGTTCAACATCCTTGCGCTATCTAATATAATAATAATCCTTGCATTTAATATAGCGCCTTAGCACGTCTTCAAGTCGTCTCAAAGCGCTTCCCAGTATGTACTGTAAAGTGAATTGATTGTATATTTTGTGGGCAGAACGCGGCAGCCAATTGTGCGTAATCCGACATCACATCCTACAAATATTTGATGTACAACTAGTTATAACAGCAAACTACGGCAAACAATTAGCATCCTTTAAGTTACTCAACAACAGCATCAACAACTTGCATTTGTACAGCGCCCTTCACATGGGGCAGCATCATATGCTAAATATGAAACATGACTGTAAGAGGAAACTAAAAGAAAAAACTTGAAAAGCAATAAGTTTGAGTAAATCACGGTCTGTTCAGCATTAGTTACAGCAGCATTTATGCCAATAGAAGAGTGTGATTTGTCATACACCCTTGACACCATCTTTTATACGAAGTATATCTGCTCTTCACTGCTTCTTGGATTGTTAATGGAATTGACTTCCAGTATACACAGGAATTATACATTTTTCTATAATAGTCATTGATCATATATAATTGTAATTTAAAAGTAGTTATTGTTTTTTAGAAAATGATCATAAACTACTTTATCTGAAGATAATTTATTGCCTCATTCTGCTCCACTTCAGTTTAGTATCAACTATATTGAGTTAATGGAACAGAATTTGCTAAATGTTAGTTTAACCAGTTGTTTCAAGACATAATAATCATCTCTCTCTACTACTTTAGACACATGCTAACTTTTTAAAAATTCAAAACACTTTTTTTAAAAAATATATGCTTGAAGCAACTATGGAACTTCCAAATAGAAATATTTAATAATGTGGATATATGTGTAACATTCCGCAAACAAATATGAAGCTCTAAAGCAGATCAAATCAAACAAATAAAATATTCAACAATATTTTGTCTTTTTTTTCAAAGAATTTGTCAACGAATCTCAGAGATTAGCATCGTTTGTTTTAACACAGATACTTCTGACAACAGAAAGAAAACGATTTGTCTGGACTTCAAAGACTTTCTCAGGCTGAGGCTGAAATTAGCATTATTTTTTCAGCTTTAATCCACGCACTTTCTCAATTGAATGGTTTTGTAGAATAAGAGCTTCACTGTCACCCGACGTATTGTTTTAGATTCTCCCAGCGAGGGATGAAATAAGCTTCTTATCCCATAGTGAACACTGAGTGTTTAACTGTCTCTGACACTTTCTGACCCCTGTGTAACACTGTGTATGAGGAGATCCAAGGAGAACAAATACACCTGGTGCCATGACCAATCTGTTTTTGTTTCATTCTGCTGGTCTCTTCCAAAACACTGAGCAGTCTCTCTCTTAGCGTAAATCTCATTAACCCTAACCCTCCACTGCTGAATACGCTTTCCTCTTCCACCAATCTACTAAGACTTTCACACTTAATACTGTAAACAAAAGAGCGCCCCCAAAAAAATTGGGGAGGAAAACTTAAGATATTGTTAATCAAGAATAGTTTATGGTAGGAAAAAAACTTTCAGTTCTATTTTCGTCAGCCAATTTTGCGAAATTGAGGTCTTTCTCGTCTTAAGCAACGGAAAAAATTATAAGGAAAAGTCATTGAAAGTGAGAGGAACTTTTAAATATTCTTGTGCTGGACTGGATGATTTGACAGATTATTTTGCAGTGACTCTTTCCAGTTGAAGTCACCAAAATGTGCATTGCAAAATGGTCATTCCAACATAAAGCACTTGGAACCAAATAAAATTGGCTTAAACTGTACAATAGGTAATGGTAAGATTCAAGTTGGTTTAAAAACTTACAGGCAGCAGAATTGTAAATGAAGCTGGCCTAATTTCTTCTATACTAATAGGGTTTTAATTACAATAATGTTACGTAAATGTGATTTTAAAAGTAGTCATTTCAATATTGCTACTGTGCTTTGACCTAATTTATAAAGCTTGAATATGCAAAAGGAACTTGCACATAAATTTGCCCCTTGAAAGGCTTAAAACATAAGCAAACAAACGAAAGGGATAATTCTACGATCTTACTATTTTTTTGAAACTATGAATTATACATTCACCTTACCACCGCAACAGTTAATGTTTGAGGTTGTCTCTGGGAACAGGGCTCTAACAGGGAACTCGACGTCCCTCCAACAGGGAACTCTAATGGTTTCTATATTTCCTGCACAGAGATAAAGACTCATAATGTGTGCATGCATTTGCCATCTGGCTCTGTACTTGTGTGCCTTATGGAGATGCAGGCTGTACAATCTGCAAGCGGTCAGGAGCCAGCGGGCTCTCTCCAGAGGACATCGCATATAGTCAAGGTGACAGATGGCATGAACATTGCTCTGGCCTCAAAGACAAGATCAACATCACCTTCAGCAAAAAATAAATGTGATTGT